TATATGGAGATGCAGTGGAACTTATTTATAGATTTATTAGCGTATGAAAGAAATGAATATTGTAGAATTCTTTCTGTCGATATAAAATATTATCTTAGCTGTATCACGAAAAATTTTATATAGTAGAGTTTGTGAACCTGCGACGTCGCGCTCTCCGTGACTATGTTAATTTCACGAACTTTGCTTTTTAAATTAAATGTCACTTTGAGGTCAGTATTTAATTTAACAGTATTGATATTTTATCGTGTGATCCGTATATTTTTAGTAAAAAAAAATTAGTTGTCCTATAGGAAGGCACGAACACGCTAGGCAGTGACGATATATGAGTGAGAAAGGTGGTGGCGCACTGGGAACGCTCGAGCTCGCCTAAAAAGGTCCCGCGGAATCTCTCCGTGGCGCTGAGAAGGTTGTAGAAGAACGCTAGCCGTGGCAGCGCCTCGGAACCGGAAGGGCTGCCGTGCATCGCGTTTAGGTACGCACTGCAAATTACTAGCGTGCACGTGCAAGGGCGCAAGGCTAGTACGGAGTAGAGTAGTAGCTCTCACTCGCATCACTTTACCCTTGCTGCAAATCACTTTTGACTGATGCTAGCAGCCTGGCGCCGAGATGTGTGGACTGTACGACGTGGATGGCCATAAACCTGACGAAGAAACCCAAGAAGAAGGAGCTACAGTGACCAAAGGAACCCATGAGCACCAGAAGCTTCCTTAAGGTCGGCGCAGTGTGGCAAACATCCAACAACTATCACGATAATATATCATTCATGTCCCGCGTGCATGTTTCCGACGTAGAGTACTACGTAGCACACGGTTGTTGCACGCAATTTTGAGATGGAGCAATGAATGCAGCGTAGAAAGGCATGGACGTGACGGTCGACGCGTGGGCACGACCGAGCCTTAACTCTGTGCATGCGCGCCATTTTGCGACGATTCCATGCATGCCGCGTTAGCGTCGTCGCTGACGTAAGGAAGAAGCTTCTTACAGAGTATGCACATGAACGTTTGCCTTTGATTTTCTCGGTCGGCGTCGTGTAGCGATTCTTTTACACCATGATTATTTGTTGGTTTGGTTTGTGGCTCACCTAGGCTCGCGGGGTGCAATATATCAGGTGGCCGGTTTAGTTGCCCGCATGAGTAATTGGATCCAGCTCACTAGCTACAAAATTAAAGGTGCGTGGTTTGTTCCGCAGAAACGACGACAGTGGTGACCATTTCCGAGACATAGAACCTCCACCGCAAACACATAGAATCGATGGGATGAAACTACTTACCATGCACTTACACAGAGCACCTTTGCGACTTAGTTATGGAACAAGTTCAAAACACTCACAGGAGTGAAGTTGTCTGTGCTTTGTCCGCGAATATGGGCAAGGGACTTGCTATAGAGTTCATTTTGCAATGAGGAGGACAGGCGCGTGATCATGTGCGGGATGTGGTCTTTATGGAGAAGTAGGAATGGCCGTCAGCATGGAAAAATACCAATAGATCCAAGCAAGGCTTTGGCTTGGGCGATTGAGACCTGCTACCAGCTGATTAGTGGCAAGCGGACAGATTCACAGACAATGCCGAGGCAAGTGAAGCATTGGCAACTGCCTGGGGAGGGGACGGTGAAAATTAATGTTGATGGGGCGTACCACCATGAGTCCAACACCGGAGCAACGGGGGTGGTGATGCGCAAGAGTGGCGGTGCCATGCTAGCAATTTCAACTCGCAATGGAAAGACTCGATGGGGTCAGTGCTAATGGCAGAAGCAAAAGCTTTTTGAGTGGGTGTTTGGATAATTCCAAAGGGTACCAGAGAGCACATCATAGTGGAATCTGACTGTCTGGAGTTGGTATCTTTGTGACGATTCTTGATGACGTGGAGGGGAGGGTCTCCAACTTCACTTTGTTTCAGCTCCTTCACACCAGAAGAGAGGCGAATTTTGTCACACATTTATGTGCCCAACGTGCTTCCTCTACTTTAGCCTCCTTTGTTTGGTCTAATCCTCCTAGCTTCTTGCAACATTGCTTGCAATTTGATTATAATAACACTGTTTAATCAATGAAGCGGAGTTCCAAAAAAAAAGACCTATATATGTTCGCCGGCGTTGCCGCAAGAAGGTATTACCTAGCTAATGATTTGTTTTTAGTTTATGGTTAGCACATATAAATGATTTTAGTGTATTTCAGGTGAATTTAGTTTACATTTTGCTTAAGTCGAGGTATTGGGTGCTACATAGGAATTAAACATGGTACATAAACACTAGTGTCTGCGATAGTCTCTCTCTCTCTCTCTCAGAAAGAATAAGATGACAATGAGCGCTAGGATCAAATGTTGCAGAAAGTTATTAGTGGATGTTTAGATTTTCGTGTTGCAGTTGCAACTCGTCGACTTCAACTTCAAACTATTAAGGTCCCGTTCGCTGGTCTGAAACTTGACTGAAACTGGCTGGTTGTTGTGAGAGAGAAACACTGTAGCGGCTAAAACTGGCCGGTTGTTGTGAGGAGGAGGAGCCGGCTGGTCGGTAAACCAGACCAGCGAACGCAGCCTAAATTTCGAATCACATCAAATATAGACTCCCTTTTTCCTAAACGAATAACGAGCTGGCCCCACCGAAGCACTGACACATGTCTTTCCAAGCTAGTATCAAATAGCCTGTGAAGTGTGAAGAGCGTCATCCAGTTAGAGTTCATACTTCGAAGTCCGATCCCAGATGAACGGCATGCACAAAGTGTAGGAAAAAATAACATAATTTCTAAATGGTTGGCACTTGGCAGCTATATTGGACTTAGTTTCAGTCAATTTTACAGCCAAGATAATTTTGAGGTTCGGCACTTCGTGCACGTACAGACCAGAAAAAAACTGTTAACAAGGTGGTTCATGGGCCGATCTCTTAACGTTGTCCTCATTCTTGTCTCATCTGGCCCACTTACGTCTGGGCCGTTTTTCCCGCTTTTTGCAGCAGGTTAACAGGCCAATAGGCAACAGTTGAAACATTATTACCGTATAAGTCAGCCCAATCTATCATCCTCTTTCTTTTCCCTTTGTTACCGGATGTCTATGATCATCATTTCTTTTTTTTTCGTCGTGCTCGTCGCCCAGAATCACGACCGTACAACATCATGCTCGCCGTTGACCTTGGCTCCCGCGTGGTTGTTGATGCCCGGTACGCCCTGAGGCTGAAACTAGTGGGGGTTACCCGCGCATACGCCTCTACTTCCCTTCCCCGTTTTTTTCTTTTTAATTCGGTATGACTAGCGCTCGGACGTCCGGACAGACACGTCGTGGCTACTCTGTTTTTCGCACGTAGCGAGCGGATGGCACGAACCTTAGCTTGCTACGGGGCCACCACGCGGGCATTGCGCCGCCGTCGGCCCACCCGAGGCCACCACCGGTAGGGTTTCCCTACCGAGCTTGAACTGCCACGGCGAGACGGAGGGAATGAAAGAGAGGGGACAGAGAGGAGAGGGCGAGGCGCGCCGCGCAAGGAAGGCGCGAGGTAGGAGCCGAAGCCCTCCGGCAAGCCACTGTCCGTCAACCACAGACGCCATTGCAACATGTCATGTATGCAGCACTCAATCTACTTTTAAAACATCCAGATAAAACATTTACAACATATGTCTGGAGACAGATGAAACACTTGAAACATGTATCTGAAACACTTGCAAAAACACCTGAAAAACAGTTGAAAAGCCATTGCAAAATATATGTAACATCCAGATAAACACGCTTGCAACATATGTGAAACATATGCAACATCCAAATAAAAACACTTGCAACATACGTATGAGAAAACAGATGAAACATTCGGAACAGAAACTTGCAACATACGTGTATAGCGATTGCAACATATGAAAATTCTCAATCTACTTGTGCAACATTCATATAAAACAATTATAACATACCTCTAAAACATCTGAAACACTTAAAACATATGCCGGTTAGGTGGACGTCAACGGCCCAGCAAACACCCAGGCGCAGGCCTCCCCTTCCTGCCGATGCTGACGGGCGAGGTGGATAGGGGCGCATGCGCAGGCTTCCCTTGCCTCCCCTTCCGCGATGGGAGAGGTGAACGATGGGGGCGCGGAGGAGCCCAGGATGGACGTGGGTGCGATGCCACCGTGCTAGAGAAGGCCACGACGGGCGGGTGCTCTGCCTACGACGAGCGACTCTGCGCTGGAGAAGACGAGCTGTCTTTTTTTTTTAGAGAGAAACGAACTGAAGCATCGAGACGGAGTGTGGGCGTGCACGGGAACGGCGAGGCGGAGTGCCAGCACGTGGCGTCTGGATTGAATGGACGCCCGCGTCCTATCATTATCGTTTTTTATTTGGCCGTTCCAGGGCAAGGAGCGTAGGATACGCGATTTCTGTTAACCTGACACATTAACGTCCTGTTCGCTTGAACTTATCAGCCCGACTTATCAACCATGGTACATTGTTTTTCTCTCACAACGAAACAGCATCAGCTAGCTTATCAGCCACAAAAACCATTAGCCGAACAGCATGTAATTATGATTAGATAGAAGGGTGGCTGAGACAAACGAAGAAAAATATCTAATTTATTGTCAACTAGTCCTGATTGAGCGCCGAAGCAAAGGCTAGCTGTGTACATGGACACATGGTCTGCCGACACGGCCTTCGCATTCACAAATCAACGCTAGCTAGGCCTAGGCACGCAGAAACCAATGCCAAGTGGCAAATGACCGTATCCGGAGGCCAATGAGCTGATGCAGACACATAACCAAACTTACCGCACCCCACCAGCTGAGTCAAACTCAGATAGGGATGGGACAGACCTTGAAGGCTTGGAGTCTTGGACAGCAGCAACAGAAACGCGAGCTTGAAGAAAGAAACGCTGCTTTATTCTCCCCGTACGTACTAGAACCTCCTCGTACAAAAACAAGGCGGCGAAATCAATCGCGCGATCACACAGCGTCTTCAGAAGATGGACGTAATCCGATGGGATCGGTCACATGATTCCATAGGGGCATGGCACAGGCAGGAGCTATAGCCTCCCCATTAGAGCGCGGTCACGGTGGGCTCGGCCTCGCCGGCCGGCGAGCGGCGTGTCTCCTGCCGCCGCCGCTTCGTCTCGCACTCGTCGACGACGGCGTACAGGCGGTAGGGCGACGTGTCGGTGGCGAGCCACTGCTCGACGGTGAAGAGCGTCTGCGCGCAGCCCAGGTGGGCCCCCGTGACCGTGACCTCGAGGTAGTTGCAGTACCAGCCGTGGTGCGCGCCAGAGCCGTCGGAGGTGAGGTTCATGGCACAGGGGGCCTGGCTCATGCAGGGCCCCCGCCCGCTGAAGATGTCCAGGTTGCCGCGCTCGTAGTAGTCGTGGCCGGCGCCCATGAGCCCGCCCCACGCCGCCAGGTCCCGGATCCGGATCCCCGTGCCGTCGGCCCCCAGCAGCGTGACGCCGATCGTCGAGTCCGTGCCGCCCTTCCAGATGGACCCCGTCCGCACGTACACCGTGTACACGCACTGGTTCTCCGGGTCCGACGACGCCGACTGCAGCGGGGCCGTGCCCGCGGCCCTCACGACGGCCGCCGCGCGCGACGCAGCCGGCGCCGCGTACGCCTGAGGAGTTAGGTACGTATCGAATGACGAATCAAGCAAAGGCACGCGAGGAGACGAAGCGAATCATACGCGCCAATAGCAGCAGATGACCGATGAGCTTACCGCGGCGGCAAAGAAGGCGAGGAGAAGGCAGGGGGAGAGGAGTTTCAGCTTCATGGCGCCCCCGGAGCGCGGAATCCTTGGCTGCTTCGATCTGAATGGAGGCCGTCAAGCCGTGGGCGGCCTGGTGGGGAACTACCCGGGGTGGGCCGACGACCCATGACAGGACAGTGACAATTTTGATTGGGGGAGGAGGAATCGAAGGCAGCATATTCCACGGCTTCGGTGCTTGCACTTGGTTCGAGTTTGGATCTGGTAGATCATCGGGATTCGGCCCACGAGGCTCGCAGCCTCGCACTGTCGCACTCGCACCTGTCCTATCCTATTGGCATTGCTGAACTGAACTGGCAAAGCAGGAGGAAAGCACGGCCGCGTGGCGCGTGCACGTGAAACACGACGAAGCCCGGTAGGTAGATTCTGCGGTATATATGCATTTGGATCCTCAATTTTAAGTGGTCATCTCCATCAAAGTGGTGATCCCTTCTTGGAAATTAACGAAAAAAAGGAGAGAAGATGGATACAAAGATAGATAGATCAAAGGGGGAGACAGTCACGTAGAAAGAATGAAGAACACAAAGGTGAAGACAAAGATAGAAGGGAGAGATGAATGGACATGATTGAAGAAAAAGATTGATCAAAATTTTTGAAAGCATACAAGTAGGGGAGCATGCTCATCACCTTGGTTGTTGCATTTAAATGTGCATACTTCATATGGTTGCTTGTATAGTAGATGCATCAAGTAGTATCTTCCTAACTTCTACGGTGTTTGCTAGCTATAAAATTTGATTGATGATTTGAAAAACTAGCATGCATAGGATAAGTGATAGCTAGACCTTTATTTTCTCGATAAGTATCTAGAAACTTGTCTAATGTTGATCTCACGGGGTTTCTAGTGTCTTTGATGTCTAGCCATAGTTTTAAATAGCGGTCTATTGAAAATAGCGGCAACATTTTTTCAACAGCTATGAGGCTATAGCGGCGCTATGACATATAGCGTTTTTATAAAGAAAACATGAAAAATACCAATAATTAATGAACAAACATGGTAAATATGAAATTCGATGAACACAAATATGTTTCTAAGGTTCCACAAGTCTAGGTAACATTACTATGACATTACAACATGGTTCACGAGAGTCTAGTGTTTAATTATCCAAAATACTAAATTAGTAGTAAATGATAAGTAGGAAATAACAAATTAAATTGTCAAAATCTATTAGTGATGGCAAAATCTAAAATAGCGCCGCTATTTGAACGCTAAAGTTATGCAATTAGCGGGGCTATAGCACAAAATAGCGATTAAAATTGGCATAGCGATACAAATAGAAATAACATAGTGTTGAATCTCTCCGGCCGCTATAGCCCGCTATTTTTTTCTATGCTCTAGCTAACCATGGCGCTAAGGATGGAGCTTAATGGATGAATCAATACTTCCAAGTGGTATACACACTGCAAAGGTTTATTCTATATACCTTAGCAACATCTGGTAGCATTGTCTCTCCCACAATTTTTAATCCAACATAGGGAGCAGAGGAGGGATAGAAGGATTTTCAGTGGAGGACAACTGCTTTAGATACGTGGATCTTTGCCCCCACGATTTGCCAATCAAAGGGGGCATGCTGAAGACTAGGGAGCGCGCACTAGCCACGCTAGCCCGCAGCAGCAAGGGAACAATTGAATGCCTAGGAGTGATGACAGGTGTGGGTTAACTAAGCATTTTGGAAAAAAAACTTGGTGGTCTTGGTTTCTACGGTTGTCATTGATGCATGGAGGACGAGCTCGCATTGGCCAAAGCTAACACTCCGCCAGAGAGCGATGAAATTTGCAATGGGGTAGCTAGCGACTCGTGTCATGAATAGGAAGGGGTGTGGAGACTAAACACGCATCTTCATCGAGGAAGCAGTGAAGTGGAAGGAGAGGAAGTTTACAACTTTAACGTAAGAGGCGGGAAGAGGAGACACTGGGGTGAGCCAAAGAGTACTTGGTTTTTGCATGGGGCAATCAAGGAAGAAGTGGGCAGCGGTGAGGTACATGTCATGGAGGATGAGCTCTTAGAATTTAGAAAGCAATACCTGGTTGTGCATCCATAACGGTAACAGATATCCAGCGGCGTAGGGCAAAGCTCTTTGTGCTGCACAACAGGGGGCTTGGCTCGCGGTAAGGGTCTATGGGCTTGCTGGCTACAAATGGTGGCTTCGAAGTTGGTAGTGGTTTGGGTGGCGGAAGGGTGGTGGTCGTCAAGGGGCGGGAGTCACCGAACGACATGGTGGTTGCAACAGAGGGCTCCCGCTAGGGGCCTTCATCTAAGCTTTTTCACCCACTATATCTTTCACTCTTTTTCAATCTGTACCGATAGGGTTAGACCTCCATTTTTAAGTTCTACAATATTAGGGTAAAAAAGATCCCAATTTTCATGGTTGTATTTTAGCTTCTAGTTTCTTGAACTTATAAATCACTTTGCTATTAGCTTCTTGTTATAGCAACTCTTTCCCAAGCTTTTTGCGCATTGGATGTGTTCATGTTTATGCTTCAGGACCATGAGATTGATGTGTCTGTGTTTACGTTTGAGAACAAGGTAATTGCAAATGGCAATCATCGACAAGCTTTAACTTGGACACTGATTCAATTAATGAAGAGATATCGGACTCACTTCACATCCAAGGATCGATAGTGGTTAGTAATATCTTATATTATGTATTTTGCTACTAGTTAGTGCACTACTAGTACTACTTACTACTACTATCTACTCATCATGGATCCATGTTTATTGCTTAGACCTTATCTCCATATCATGATGAACCCCTAGAGTATAGAAGAGTAATCTATGGTTCAATTCTTGACAAGTTTAAGATCTCCTTGGATACTCATTATGATAAAAGAATTGATCGGTAAGTTAGTAACTCCAACCCTAAAGAATTAATCCAACCACATTTCATTATGTTAATTGGTGTAACCATGTTAGGATCTGTGGCCGAAGGCTAGGTGTATAGATGTGAATCTCTTGATCACACTTGTACTATAGAGTGGTCAGCTTATGAGAATTTAATCATCGAAGAGCCAAGGTTAGTGTATCCATAGTTCTTTTTATAAATGTGGTGTATAGGCGTGTATCTCTTGATTCTTCACAAAGTTGCGCTATAGAGTTATAACTTATGAGAATTTAACCTTTTGTTTAATTAATTAGTAATGCAATGCACTCCTCTCTTATCAGGAAATCCTTGGTCATGAAGAAGCTATGTCACCCAAATGTTAAAAGGATTTTTTGTGCATACAAAGAAGACAAAAAAGACTTTACCAAAAAATCGGTTTTCTTAGTACATGAATTGTGCAAATGGTGCGCAAAACATACTTTGTTTATAGTACATGTCGATCATCTATATTGATTAATGCCTTATTAGTAGACTTGAGGACTATTGATGAGGAACATTATAGAATAGAATTAGAACACTTCACACCCCTTGGGTTGGGTTGCTTTCATATATATAGTGACAAAAGACTTCAGTTACAATTACAATTAGACCCATAGATATATACATATCTAACCCTCCCTCCACGCGCAGTCGTAGCGGGAGGCTCATGAATGCATAGACTCGACCTAAAATCAGTAAACAACATGTCGGGGACCGATTATTGGGGTACCCAAAGAGGTGGAACTAATAACCATCAAACGCTGATGCTTCCGAATAGGCTGGACTTCGCCTCGCCTTACCCCTGAGGGCTGGCTCAGCCTCGCTCGACATCTAAGGGCTAGTTCCGCCTTGCCCGACGTCTGAGGGTAGGCTCCATCTCGCCCGACGTCTGAGGGCTGGCTCCGCCTTGCCCGACGTCTGAGCTCTAGGGCTGGCTCCGCCTTGCCCAAGGTCTACACCCTGTTCCTTCATAATGACAAGCATAGGGTAAGACAGGACACTTAGGTCAATGACAATACCGAGGACCATGCCCTATGCACTTGCGAGAAGGTACCGTCAGGATACGACGGGACGAGCGCTTTAAGCCCTCCCAGGCATGGCAGAGCCCGAATAGTATTGTAGGCGTCGACTTTTGTCCTACAATGTTGTGGGCGCCGCCATCAGCCCTCCAGCGTGGATCCTAACACAGGCATATGACAACCACTATAGTCCAGGAGGGAACTCACATCATCAACAATAACGAACGTATGGTCACTTCCCCGTCTGCTCCCCATAGGGTCACAACTCTATACCCCGATGCGCTGCATTGTCCGCCGGAGTAGGATGGGACGCGACCACTAGATGACCAAAGCCAGAGCACAGCCTTATCAGGATCAACAAACATGCTATCCCTGGCACCGTCTGCCATGACAGCAGGGCAGGCTCAAGGGAAAAGGAAGACCCGGCACATTCGAAGGACCTTCTCTACCTCTGGTTTTTTCCCCTTTCTCCCATCTGTAATCCCTGCTCCCCCTTGGTCCATAAAATGGAGGGCAGGGCACCCCACTAGGGGATGGATCGATTTCATACACAACACATCACATGACACATGGCCAAGCAGCAACCGAGCTCTTGGTATCCTTTCGACCCTTCCATCAGAGACTTGGGACCTGTCCCTCTCTCGACCGTTTGTACCCCCTACTATGAACCTTTTTTCGGTGCTAATAACACGAGCAACAGCAGACTGGATGTAGGGACATTCTGCCCGAACTAGTATAAACCTTATGTCCTTTAGTACACCATCCGGGCCTAACACGCAAGAAATATAAATTTACTAGTTGGTGTTTATTCGAAACACCAACAGTTGGCGCGCCAGGTAGGGGACCTTTGCGCGTTCCATATCAGGCCTCGGATGGCTAGCCACGCAATCAGCTGGGTCCCAGGCACACTCGTGCGTTTCAGTGACCTAGACTTCATCATCACGGTGGGAGGAGAGTTGGTGTTGGCCCACGCCACCATCCAATCTCTCCCCTCCATCGGCTTCAACTACGGGAGGCTTGAGCGCTAGCCGAGCGTCTCCCTTGGACCCCAGCCATCCAAGGAGGACCCACGCTGCCTCACCTTCTCTCTAGAACACTTCGCACGGAGCGCCCCGATGGCGCTTCCGTT